GTAAGCGCCCCACCTCCTTTCTGCTTTGAGAAACTTTTCTATTAGAAAAACATGTAAGAAAGTGCATGTAAAACGAAAAAAAGACGATTTTTATGCAATAGCAAAATTTACTGTACTGCGTATACGAAGACTTCGTGAGACTTTAATTTAAATTTTTTTATGCATTCGATAGCTTTTCACTTGCTCTATCTAAATATATAAAGTTCATTCTGGGTGCCTCGTAAACGGTAGAGATATAGAGCTCTTGTGGCAAAATAGTCGGAAAAATAAATATGCATTTCTAACAGTTTTCCCCTTAAAATTTTTTTCCTGAGAATATTTTTGAAAAAGGTATATATACAGTTTTGTAGAGCGAATTTTGCTCTACAAGATGACATATAATTGAACCTTGTTGGTACAAGGAAGACTTCGAAAAAACACACGTTTCGTAAAATAGTCTACCTATTTTGAACTAGTGTAGCAGTGTTCAGTGTTTACTGAATAGCTTTTTGAAGGTACATCCAAATGAGCTATAAAAATTTGGATTTAGAGGTTTTGGATGATAATCTTTCATTTAAGATCATAAAAAGGAGGGGCGGGGTAAAAAATTTCGAGAGTATAGCGATTCTCGAGTGACTGGTGGACCGTCTTATTAAAAAAATTACTTTATCCGTTAAATAAAATTATCCTTGCTTTAAATTTGCTCATCAACTCCCCAAACTGTTTGATTCTGCGAATTCGGACTGAATAGAAAGAAGCTGCTTTTACATTCGAGATCCTCGACCTCGATTACGCTTCGGTCAACCCTTACTACTGTGAACCAGTATTAGGAAATACTTGAAGAAAACGAACGAACGAACATCAACTCGTTTTTTCGGTGATATCAGCTCGACGCACCACCCTCCTTTCAGTAGAGGGAATTATACTTGAGTAAAAGTCCTGAGTACGATTTTTAAAGTACAAGTAATTTTCCTTTTACTTACTGTACTTGTACTCGGCCAGTCTCTGAAAGAGAGAAGAACCGAGAAAAAGTGACCTTCGTGGGACTCGAACCCAAACCTTCTGCTATCCGGGCAGATGTCCTAATCCAGTTAGACTAGAAGAACCATCTTAATCTCTTGTCTAGCGTTGTGTGATTCATCACAAACGCTAACAAGGGAGTGTATAGGAGCGACTTGTCGTGAGTGGCGTCCCAACGGGACGCCCACGAACGACTAGCAGCTCCGAACGATATATCATTCATACAAGAAGTAAATATGTTTCATATTTCATGCTAATAGTAGTTTTTCAGCAGCACTACTGAAAATATGCTTTTATTCATGCTAATTATTCACTCGAGGATCAATTGAGTCACCTGCAACGAACGTTATTTATCCTTATATGGTCTGAGCAATACTTTTTAAAATTCAACTCAGGTTACCAAGCATTGCAATTATTATACTGTTCGCCCGTTTTAGACTGTCTAATTGATAAATTGTCTTATAGCTGCACAGAATGCAAGGATGAATGGCGATAGTTTTATACAATGTTCTTCTCCCCAAATGACAGACACCAATGATAAAATAGATCTAAGTAGTAATTATAAATAAGATGAGCAAGGACACGAAATGCGGAAGATAGAATTGTCTATAACAAACAGAGAAATTAGTTGCTTCTCTTAGAAATGTCCATGTATATGTCATATTTTGGTTTCATAGTTAAATGAATAACAGGAATGATTTCTTGTCCAGGGACCATTTCAAAATTTACTCGCTGTATAATAATGGCTAAAATAATAGTCGCTTCTGGTATTGCAAGGCTACGGCCAATGCAGTTTCGCGAGCCAAATGAAAATGGAAGAAAACAGCACGGGTGAGCTAGTTTTGGCGCGTTTCCATCTTCATCTTTCATCCAACGCGTATAATCAAATTCTTCCGGATCACGCCAAAACTTCGTTGAGTGATGAATAGCATTTGTATTCCATACAATTGTTGCACCTCGTGGAATATGAATTTTTTGTCGACCATAAGGCCCAATAAAATGTTCTTGAATACACTCTCGGCCGAACAGAGGAACTGGAGTATACATACGAAGTACTTCATGAAAGACAGCATTAAGAATTTCGAGTTTGTCTAATTGATCATATATAGGTTCCTTTCCACTCAAAACAGTGTCAACTTCATTCCTACAAGCTTCATAAACAGTCGGCTTTGTCATCAATACAAACATTGTCCAAGATAACGCAGTTGCTAAAGTATGGTAACCGCCTGTTATGAAACTTAATACATGTTCACGTATCTGCTTGTCCGTAAACTCATTTTCTGACGAAAGTAACACCCCCAATAGATCGTCTCTGTCAATTCGTTTTGCCTGCCGATCACGTATTATTTTATTAACAAATTCTAATAGATATTTGTTATATTTTTCTAGAGCAGACTTTTGACATATAGGTAACTTGGATAGCAAAGGATGTACATACATCAAATTTGAATTTCGATAATAAATAAGATTCGTCATATTTTCGTAGGTATCGACAATTACCTGTATTTCTGATACTAATGTTCCCTCATCGATGCCGTATAATATACGTAGCACGCTTTTCAATATTAGTATGCTAACTTCTTGATGAAAAGGAATCTGTTTTCTCGATTCTGTAGATACCCATTCATCGATTGTCTTTTCAGTTATATCGCTTATTGCTTCTAACATTGCCTTAATTTTGACCGAATGAAATACTGGATTAAAACATTTACGTGCGTTTATATGCGGTTTACCCTCAATCAGTACTATACCTTCCATGCCAAGAATTGGTTCCATCTGCATATGTAATGAATTAAATTTAACGTAATATGTCCCCTGCTTTTTTAATATGTCCGATAGATACTCGGGTTCATTTACCATTAACGAGCCATTCGGTAACACATATATTGAACCAAAACTATCTCGATCAGCTAGGATTTCTTTTTCCCATGGATGAGATTTTTTCCATGTAATCCAAAATTGCAGGAATGACCAGCCAGGAGATACAAACGGTCGATAACAGGGCAAACCTTGTCGTTTAAAGTGATCATAAAACTGTTGATACTTATAAACAAGCGTATAGTAAATATATGATATGATGGAGACCGAAACAGCTAATAATGTTAAGATAATCATTCCACATGCGATAAGAAAAACTATTGGAAATAATTATCTTTTTTGCACAATTTTACACAAAGTTAGCTTGCTATTTGGTTCGTAGGTCGATTGATACTACTTTTTCTTACGAAGGTAACTATTAGCTGTAATATTTCAAGAATAATTTTTTAAAATCTAAAACAGTCAAGAACGATCAATCTGCACAGAATGGTTTGCTCAAAGGCTTGAGACACTCCTGCAGTGTGAATATACTTTTTTTCTAGCTTTTCTTGAGTTTTTGTTTCATAGTATCAATCTGAAAGAGCAAACTTAGCGGTGTTAAAACATATAATATTTCTCAATTACATTCTTGAAACGAAGGAACCTATCTTAATAGGAAAGATCATCGATACAAAGATGTACTATTTTGCACAATCAGCTATAAGATTTGAAAACTCGGAATTTAATTCTACAGGACAGCGTGTAGCAAGGGGGAAACAGCGATACTCCAAAAACTCGAGTGTCGTTGGAGTATAGTGGAGTATCACCGGAGTAGACTGAAATAACGTCGAAGTATCGTAAAGTATTGCTGAAGTATGGGTGGAGTACAGCTGGAGTTTTGCGAAGTACCGCTAAAGTACTGTGAAGTATTCGCTACAGTAGACTGTAGTATAGCTAGAATATGGCCTAAGTACGAGTGGAGTAAGAATGGGTTGCAGTGGGCTGTTTAACCTCATACTCCAGTGATACTCCAACCTACTCCACCCATATTCCAGCATACTCCAACGATACTTCACCCTTACTCCACCAATATTCCGGCGAAAAGCATAATTTGATTGGAGTATTAGCGGAGTACCATCGGAGTATGTTGGAGTACTGGAGCATCGGAATATTGCTGTTTCTCCCTTGGCGTGCAGTCATAAGCAGTAACAGTATCCTTGATTATTGCCCAAAGGAAAAAAAAGAGATTTCATCTACTTCAGACAGTATTTGAAGTTAGATAAAGTACCGATAAAATACTGGTGGAGCACGAGTGAAATAAGTGGGCACGGCTTAGTGATTCGACGCATCTATTCCTTACGAGGGAGGTTCTTCAGGTGTTTAATGTCTTTAGGTCTCATCTCTTCGTGACAGGTAGACCTCAATAAGGTATGTAAAGCCACAAGAGAATCTGTACCCTTGCACCATTATTGCCGAGATATCGAATTCTCCAGGTACATACAAAAGACACCGAATTGAAAAAATGATCGTTTTCAGAGAGCAATACAGTATTCAAGTGAAAATACTTTCAAGTTTCGCGTATCGTTCGTTCAATCTATTCTGGATTTAGTGCTAGGCTATATCTCATCAGTAGCACCTCGATGGGCTATTTATAGAGGTTACACACGACTCATAACTCTTCATTTCACATCTAATTTCATTATGCCCTGCGAAAAATTATTGAAAGCAAATAGTACATTAGCAATTATCTTTTCATCTTTCTTGTTGGCATACCAACATGTCTAACTGATAACTACACGTGTTCTTCGTCTACATTTCTCTACTTTGTTTCCCCTCGTGCTGTCACTTTCATCTCGATATCATGTCACGAGTTTGTTTACGGCATGTAGGTGACGTATCAGGAAGCATTCACGTGCTGGTTTCTTTACACCAATTTCAAAATCATTAACCCCGCAAACGTTATGGAGATTTTCGCCGTTCGAGCATCGAACTCATCGTCTACTGTGTCAGCCAGCGCGATCTCTGCCACTACTGCCACAAACCGTGAATGTGAAGTAGCCGATGACGAATTGACCAATGACATCGAGCACGAAGATACTGCTGAAGAAACATTGGATCTCAACTGGAACGATCAGGACGAAGAGGAAGCGTTGTGTAAACAATTTTCACTCGATTATACGACCAAGGCAGTCGAATTCTATAGCGAAATTAATCCATAAACTGGGAAAAGAAAGAGGCGATGCGAGACTGAACCACAAGTTCCGACGTATCCCGCATCAAACCTATCTCTCGTGCTTTTACCGTTATCTTAAAAAACACAGCACCAGGAAACAGAAGTTTGACAAAATGAATGATGATGTATTCAATATGTTCTAGCGGGTTCGACAGAAAGCCCTTCTAGCACACCCTATTGATTTACGACGATGGGCTCTCAAGCAGGCCATGGATGAGTCCTCACACAATATTGTCGCTTCAAAACATTGGCTGTACACTTTTAAACAGAAAGACAATATTATCTCGTGCGAGATGACGAAAATGAAACGTTTGAAACTACTTCTAAAGAAATATGAGAAGGAAGTTCTCATCTAAAAACAGATTAACATGAAAAAGAGGCTTTCCCAGTTTTAGACTTGTCGGTTTTGCATAGTCATTGTCAGAGCTAAGATTGTTTGAAACCAAATGGACTGCAATTATTTATTGTTCCTAGATTGTGACAAAACATCATGTGGAAGATAAAGAGATCATCAGAACTTCGGCCGATCAGTTCATAGCTGATGTTCGCAGACGCTTACCTCAGTGCCAAGAATACGCGATTCTATACAATGACCAAAGTGGAATGCAGCTCGAATTCCACCTTACACGAACATTGAGTCGTCAAGGGAGAAAGTAACCATTGGATCCATTGGATCCGTTCGCTCTGTGAGTGCTACCACCCACACAGTGGCGCAACCAGGAATTTTTGAGCAATGGGCAAAAGTCGCTTAGGACTCAAAATTTCAGTGGGCAAAGCTTGGGCAAAGCGTCTTTTTTAAAAGATTCTGCTGGGAAAAAACGATCCTCAAAAATTTTGAATGGGCAATTGCCCATTTGCCCCTCCCCTGGTTGCGCCACTGCACCCACAGTTATACAATGCAGTTCACAATCGCACTCGACGGGTACCTCCTCTCGCCTCTTTGCCTCTGTCTGAAGGAGCGCACAGGACGCCTGCGCGACAATATTTGCTCACAATATTTTAAGACGTCGAATGTGGTGATTACTTGCAGCATCTCTGGAGAGCTCACAACATTCTTGGTCAAATGCTGACGCGATTATATACTCCTCCCATCATTGGGAAAGCATCAAAAGTTTCTACCCATCGCGGACTCTTGGCCTGGATAGACAGATGGAAAGGGATTATACGAGCATATTACAGCGTGCACAAGGCTGAAAATACCGAAGAAAACGACTGATCAAATTCAACCACTGGATGTCTTTCTCAACAGACAGATGAAAGTGATACCTCGTCGATCATAAGATCGCGTGCTACTCGTTTAGCTTGACATTAACATGAGCGAACGGAATAACATCACTCGTCTCACCTCCCTTACTCACAGCCAACTCTCTGTGAAAGAATTTCGTCTGACGATCCAGTACGCTTGGTATGCGAGCGGCTACACAGACAAATATTCCGAGTCCTTCAAAGCAACGGGCGAAGTGTGTTTTTCTTTCAATGTAACGATATGTGCTGCACCTTCAGACGATGCAACTCGTCTTATCTGCTGCAACTGATGTGACCAACCACTCTGTTTCAATCACCTATTCGTGCAAAATTTGACGAAGTTTATAAAAAACCCAATCGATTATACGACATATTGGATGAAAAACCTCACTTTTCGCATGATTCAAACCCTCATATGCTGACGATATGTGAATCAAATGAGCTTTTGAGTGGTTTGAAAAGGTTGTACGCTGATAGTGATGGCGATGAACAAGTTCGTTTGATGACAATTGCTTCCTAAGAATAGGGTCGACAAAAAAAAATCGAAAAATGGTGCGTATCCTATCCTTCTTTCCTTCTATATTCGCGTATTTTATCCAACTAAATGGCATTAAGGCCTCTTTTCATTTATCAGGTTTCAAGCAAAAGTAAATCATTCTCGACGATCACTCGTTCTTCGGAAGAAACATGGAGTAATAGCTTACCCAGAATGCCTGCGAGGACGCAATCGTGCTTTATCTAACTCAACAAATGACGATGTGATCAAATTCTATCGTGAAGGTGTTAGCGTCATG